GGAAGAAGTAAAAGACCTGAAGTTATTTACTATTTAAATAGTTTTCTGCATGCATTTGATAGCCCCTTTCCAAATATTAGCAGCGTTGTTACATCCGATAGGTCGAATTGTAACAAATATTACTAGACATACTTTAGATTATGTCTGGATTATGTAAGGTGGTAGAGCCTAGCTGTGGTCAAATTACTGCAGGTCGGACATGGGGTGCCATAAATATGTATATATATAACGTAAAATAAATTTAGGTAAAGTTTCATTGATTTTACGGACCTTACATATAGTAGATAATTTAAGTGATAACTAGTGATAGTCATTAGTGGTTGAAGTCTAAATGACTGAAAGGCTGAAAGTTATATGTTTATGATTTCAGATCGCAGTAGGACCAGAGTAGTAGCAGTAGTAGTAGTAGTAGGACAGATTTGAGATAAATTCAAGAGATATATCAAGAACTAACGCGTAAGTATCAGTATTATTAACACGAAAACGGTTATGTTTTAAAATAATGTATAATACAAGATAATATACTAATAATGTATTTTACATAATGCACAGTTACAACAACGAGCCGAGCTGTATAAGCGCCACTCACCCTCACCTCAACATGTACTGCTTCTGTAACCAATAGACATTAACGATATATATTATTGAAATGAAACATTATACGGATATGTTTTATAATTATTATACATCAAAACAACTATAAACAGGGTGTATGAAAAACTGTGTCAACCCTTGAAGGCATGTATACATATAAGTATAACCTTATTATAAAAAATTGTATAACTTAAAAAATATCAAGCAGAGGTCAGTTTCAGTGCATAGTCTAAATAAGTTTTAAATCGATATTATTTGAAAAATGTTCCAAACATCTGACCAATACAAGGTCAAGGCCCCGTACAGTCGCGCCGACGCATGCGCGGCCTTTGATCGCAGGCGCCGGCCGCCGGCGTGGCGCACTCGTCTATTGTTAGTGTTTCGAATATAAATTTGCAATTTTAACAATTAGGTTTATCGATAAATATTCTATCGACATTTTCAATATTGCTATAAGTAGTTGTACTTTTCACATTAAAATAATTTCATTTAAAATTACTTTTATTAATAATAAATATTATAATTTGGAACTTTTTCAGATAAATTAACTATGTTGTATTATATGATAAATCGTTAATCTACTTCTGCTATTTATGGTGTTTTACAATCAAAAATAATACTAATGTGTGATATATCAAAATAAGTATTGAAATAATATGAATATTAAATATTTATTTATTGTTATGATTTTTTAAATATCGATATTTTCAATAATGTGAAAGTAACATCGAGGTCGTCACTAGTAGCGCAGCAGCTGTGATGACGTCATTGCGTGTCATCGTGTTATACCAGGGCTTACAAACATTTTGTTGCTCTACATATAATAATCATTTAATATTAAATTTTATTATTTTTATTGAAGAGTTTGTAAATGTTAGTTGTTTTATTGTGTTACATTTTCGATACTGATAACGTAGTTAAGAGGGTTGACATAGTTTTTCATACACCCTGTATATAATAATATAATAGTACATCAATGTATGTGGTTCTGTAGGTGAATACAATGTTCTACTGTGATTGTTAATACACATGTCTTTCCTTATATATTATATTATATAATTGGCACAAACTATTGTTTTAGTATCAATGAAGATATGTTTATACTCGGTATGTATTCAGTTCAAGTTGTTTATAGCGAGGAGATGTGTTAGTGTTCCTGAGCTACCTGTAACGTTAGTTTTATTTGTATATTTAACTCTCTCATAATTATTAGTATTAATATAATAACTAGGTAAAATAATAATCAGTTTTTATTGTAATATGTACAAAAGTTGACCAAATATTTTTTCAATTTATCCGTTCTTAGAATATGTTGTTTTTGTTTTGGTGTTATTTATAAGATATCAAAATTTTTCTTAATACTCTTTTTGTTTTCTATTATATTTTTTTTCATATTAGTAATTTCAACATTTTTAATTTTATAGTAATCTTTAATTCATGTTTATGATGTTAATCTGAAATTATTATTAACGCCATCTACATCATATATTTGGAACTTCATTGCATAATGTTTAAGTAACAATGAAAAGTGGTTTGTGAAAATGTTGTATTTGATCGTCTTCTCGCATTATATATGTACATCTAGCTTACATCTTAGAATGTTTTCACATATTTTTTAGGTATTAATCATAATTTTGTGAATTTGTAAAACCGTTTAGAAATATATTTTTTGTTGATTAGTTCAGTCTTTAATAATTTAATATGCTTTTCTATGTCAATTTAACATTTTAATTTCTAGATTAAAATCCATTGTTGAACAGTTCTATTTATTAAAGTAAAAATCTCAGTTACCAATATAATTCTCTGATTATTTTTACATTTTTGGACTAGTTTAAACCTAAGTTTTACTTCGAAAACTGTTGGGCGAAGTAAAGTATATAATAATAAATAATATTGTAAATTATAAGGAGTTGATGGATAAAGAGTAGCGGACGTTAAATAATTATTTTATTGTATAAGTTCCTTAAAACATAAATACCATTTCTTAATGTGATTCGTCTAGTTTTATTTGATTTAATCTAGTCATGTAAAAATCTTGAGATTTTTGTCTGTTTTGTTGTTTGCTTTCAAATAAATTTGGTTTTTGAAATTAATTTTTTTTTTCTTATTTCAACCATATGATTTTAACCAAAGATTATCCATCGACCTCTTCATGGTATTCACGAAACTACAAATGATAAGTGCAATAGGAAAGTGACTTCTATATGTGAAAATATATTTTGAATTTAGTATACCATAAAATTGCAACATATAAGACAAAATACTCTCCACTAAAGAACTCTCAGAATGACATTTAGATTCAGATTTTCTCAGTCTGAGGATCGGTCTCTGATGTAGTTTAGCGTATTTCTAAAGTCACATAGTTGCCAGTGATAACAAAACCTTAAAATGTCTTGAAAATCCGTCGCCATCAATCTAAAACTGAGTGAAAGAAAATCATTACTTTTGTACATGAAATAGTGAAAAATTGAGACGATGTTACTTTTAACTTAAATACCAAAAACTTTGATATTCAAAATATTTAGGGCAGGGAAAGGCAGGAAAAGGAAATGCAGCAAAACTTAGAAACCAAAAACTCGTTAACGTGTCTAAGGATAAATAAAATTATTAAACGTTTTTCTAAGGATAAATAAACAAAATTATTCTAAGGATAAATATGTGAAAAGCTATGGGCTCCTTAAACTCAAGATAATTAATAAGCACTAGGTAATAGAGATAATCTATATTAATAAAGAGGAAAGATTTGTTTGTTTATTTGTTATGAATAGGCTCCGAAACTACTGAACCGATTTCAAAAATTCTTTCACCTTTGGAAAGCTACATTATTCCCGAGTAATATAAGCTATATTATATTTAAATAAAAATTAGGGATCCTTACTAAAACTCCAATAATGTAACCAAAGGTGTAAAAAAATGATCTGAAAAATTCCTTACGTCGCGTGCGCTGCGAAAACTATTGATGATAGAACCAAATCATTTACTACGACTTTGCAGAACTCATCATTATCTACAAAAAGTGTCGCGACAGCATATGTCTAAATATTATAGTTATGTCACAGTAAGCGGTTTTTTATTCTAAAAATTTAATTTATATGCCGCCGCTTGAAAAGGCTCTTTATTTGTACCTTGGTATTAATCCTTATCAAAATAAATTACTTTATATTCAAGACGGCTTCAATACCTTTTTATAAGTTTTTGAATTATTCAATTCCGACATTTCATTCGAAAGATATCACAAGTTTAAAAATGCAAGTATTAAAAAAAAGTTGCGTGGTTGCCGCTCACCGCGCTCAGCTAGCCAGCATGCGATGTAGGCTCCATGTAAGCGTCACTGGGGTAGGGGGGGGGGGAGTCAATCCCAACTAATATTATAAATGCGAAAGTAAGTCTGTCTGTCTGTCTGTTACGCTATCACGCTTTAACCTCTCAACCGATTTTGATGAAATTTGGCACAGACAAACAATCTTTAGACCCTGAGAAAAACATAGGCTACCCTTTAGTGCGAAAAAGGGGATGAAGAGGTTGAAAGTTTGTATGGGATTTCTTAATTTTAAAAGATATAACCATGAAGATTTTTATTTAAGCAAGTGATAAGACATATTTAACATTTGTTCTAGCGTTTTTGAAATTTAAAATCGTTTGCTATTTTTACCACCGTGGGGGTGAAATTCTACACACGGAATTCCCGAAATTCGAACAGAACGGAACAGGACGTGCTACCACTAGATGGCGCTTAATGTTATTCAAATTTAATAGGGAAAATGCAAATACAATAAATAATGTGCATAGGTTCAAAATTAAATTCCAATTTCTAGTGTTTTCGCCTCTATTTACATAATATTTATTTAGCACAATTAAAAAATAAGTAAAATTAAAAGCAGAACATATATTCAAATATTTTTTTTTGTGAGTATTATAATATTTAATCGTTTGGACTTTAATATTATCCTCATTATTTTGACAATTTGTAAACTTTCCTGGATACTTACAGGATCTGTGTAATCTGTAAATAAAATATAGTTATCATTAGTAGGAGGTGTTGCATTATGCAAGAATGCAATGCTTGGTCTTGCAAAAATGCAAGACCAAGCGATTAGGGCTACCAGCTACAGTCAATTCGAAACAAAAATAAAGTGCGACAGTTGGTAGTTTGGCTAGACGTCTGTTTGAGAATTGCCATTAAGAAATCCGCCTGAATCTTAAAATTTAGTATCAAATCGTCACAGTATTGATAGTAAAAATATCAGTGGCTATGTATTTGGTTTTAATTAAAAAATTGACAATTTTTTTAAAAATAATCAGATTTTAGCACTTAATAAACGATAAAACGAATAAATGAAATAATGATGCATTATAAAATATTTTTATTATTCTCAACGATTGTCAATATGTCACATGTAAATCTGTCAAATGTCAATTTTCCCGCCATCGTCCCATTTAAGGTAGAGGTCCGGTATCTTGGGTATCGGGCCGTCGATACGATCAAACGGATAGTTTTCATATTCCTGCCAGTATAACGGACGAACTGTTCGATAGCCGTTATCTAGAGAGTCCAGCGTCTTTACGTCACTGGCATCGAGATTGAAGTCAAAAATTGAAGCGTTTTCCACGACGCGAGACTTCGTTATAGTTTTCGGTATAGAGACCAGACCGCGTTCATACTGAAAATACAAGTTATAGTATTAAGAGTTGTTATTAAATAATTCATGTGTCCACTATAGATAAATTTCTTACATGTGTGAAGTGAAACTGAAATGACTCCCACTATTAAATGTCCCAAAATCATTTCGTTAAGTATTTATGAACAACTAGCTTTCCGCCCGCAGCTTCGCCCGCGTGGAGTTCGGTTATATCGCGTTTCTAAGGAAACTTTTCAAAAGTAGGGGATAAAAACTATTCTATATTCTTTCTCAAGGTCAACTTTATGTCTGTACCAAATTTACCACCACCACCTGTACCAAATTTACCAAATGTGCCAAAAAAGCGTAACAGATAGACAGACAGAGTTACTTTCGCATTTAAAATATTAGTAGGGATAATCGTCTATTCTTTTGTTAAGTGTGTATTAAAGCTCACCAAATATCTGAGTGCTATTTGTCCAACAGTTTTTCCGTGTTTTTTGGCGATGGCTACAAGCCGGGGGTCATCGACCTTTGTCCCTTGATTATTTGGGTCTTCTCTACCTGGCAGCATACTACCGAATGGCGTATACGCGACACATTGAATGCCATGCGTATGACAATAAGACACCAAATCATTTTGGGCCAGGTTAATGTTTAACTGGAATAGAAAAAAATCCTCATTTAAAATTATAATTGAATAATTAACGATATATAGCACTATAATGGCACTGTTTTATTTAAAATTTATTCTATTGTAAACATTGCAAGATTAACTCTGTTGCCCTAAATAGCAGTTTCCTCATCGCATTTACAAAACAAATTATTTGCAATATTTTTTTAATTCTACTGGACAGTGCTTGACTATCATTCCACGCATTGAAGGTGGAAATGCGGACTATTGACATAATGGATTGTACGATTCCTGCTTTGAAGACGTGAATTTTTGGCGAAGACGGGATCGAGCAGAAATATAAAAAAAAGCGAGCATAATGATTAATACTATTGAGATAAGCCTTCTTTGGCGCTTTTTTGCAGGACTTGGTAGTTCTCATTGTGGCAATAACACGCAGTTTTGAGATTTCGAACATGTACCCATGGAAAATAAGGCGAATGTTTATGTTTTCAGCCTTATTTCATTCTTCTATGAACCGTGGGCGAGATTTGCCAACAATGAGAACAATTTAAAATAATAATTATTTAAAATTCTCGCTACAATGTAATATACAGGGTGACTGGTGAATTACTATCAATATTTAAGGAGCATACTCGGTACATGATTCTCATTCGAATTATGTAAAAAAAATAGGTACTTAATTTTCGACCAAATTTCCGAATAAATAAATAAAGTGTTGACACGTTCCAAGTGTTCCAAGTGTGGAAGCGTGCGGCGGCGGGCTGATACAAAACCACGCCCCCGCCGCGTGTGTGTGAGTGTATGTGTATACCTAATCTGTAGGGTGTTCATACGATGCGTAATTAATTACACAACTTTTGGTTAACTTTATTTAGAAGTTTATTAATATTTATGTTATATTAATTTTTATTTTGTCATATATGATCGTCAAATATCACGTCCTCAAATATCGATAGTAATTCACCAGTCACCTTGTATATTGTTGTCTGAATCCGATTTTACAATTAAATGATTTTAGACTCATGCTGGAACGGTACATATAATAATGTCATTCTGTATTTTTAAACAATTTTAATTAATTTAACGACATAATGATATTTATTTATTTCTTATAGTTCCTGTATACCTCAACTTGGTTCACCACCGGTTTGACTCGACAGTTCTTCAACAACCTATCTATCTGTTGCACATTTAAGTTTGAGATGCCTACAGATTTTGCCAGACCTTTGTCAAAAACGGATTCGAACCCGCGCCAGGATTCAATGTAATCTATTTTTTCATCCACACCCTCGGCCTGAAATGTAAATGATTTTAACGTGACAAAACTGTAATGTGTCATTATCCTACTAATATTATAATTGCGAAAGTTTGTGAGTGTGTGTGTGTATCTTTGTTACTTCTTCACGCTCAAATGGCTGAACCGATTTTGATAAAATTTTGTATACGGGAAGCTAACATCCAGGAATTACATATAGGCTACTTTACATCCCGGAAATCCGCGGGTAACACCGTGGGGTACAGCTAGTTATCACATATACATACATATGTATGAGTGTGTATTTCTTACCGATATAGACATAGGCCAGTGCATAAGCACGAGATCAACATAATCCAGACCCATCCTCTCAAGTGATCCTCGGACCGAGGCCTCCACATCTTCCGCCCTGTGATTGTGCTGCCATACCTGATAACATTATATATACGGGGAGAATTAAATTAGGGTAGATTGATATTATACAGTTCTTATCACTAACATAATATGTAAGTTTATGGAGAAGTGATTTTGTTATTAGGTTTTATACAATGGAATTTGTCGTCACGAGACAGAACTGCCACTCAATATTGAGAACATTCTTCAATATTTAAGCGGACACGACACTATTCGCTCCTAAGACTTGCTAGTCCCGAGCATTATTAGATCCGTGGTAACACGATGGACGATCTACGTTGATAATCATTTCGTTAAATTTAATTTAGCAGTATTAATATACTGGAAATATCAGTTAACTTAAAAATTATGTTGACTCACAAGTTATGTTTTAAGTAATATACTAACCTTCGTAGTAATAAACACCTGCTCCCTCGTGATAATTCCTTCCTGTATCTTCTTCCGTACAACCCAGCCTACTTCCGGTTCCATCTGGTAAAAGTGTGCGGTATCCAAATGTCTGTAGCCCACGTCAATGGCGTAAGACATAGCCTCAAGAAATTTCTGCTTGTCTTTGACTAGAAGGTGGTTCTAATGTTTTAAAACAAAGAAAAATATATATTAGAAACTCAAAAGATTTCTTTTTTTTTCATATATACAGGGTGACTGGTGAATTACTATCGATACTTGAGGACGTGATATTTGACGATCATATATGACAAAATAAAAATTAATATAACATAAATATTAATAAACTTCTAAGTAAAGTTAACCAAAAATTATGTAATTAATTACGCATCGTGTGAACACCCTACAGATTAGGTATACACACACACACACACGCGTGCGGCGGAATGGTGTTGTATCAGCACGCCGCCGCACGCGTCCACACTTGTAACTCTTGGAACGTGTCCACACTTTATTTATTTATACGGAAATTTTTTCAAAAATTAAATACCTATTTTTTTTACATAATTCGAATGAGAATCATGTACCGAGTATTCTCCTTAAATATTGATAGTAATTCACCAGTCACCCTGTATATGTATATTATTTCTTACGTTCTCATCTTCACCAATCCACGTGCCGTATCCAACAGCAGGCATCTTCACACCATTGCTGAGTGTGAATGTCGGGATGTTTACCTTAAAAATATAATTTAAAATTTTATAATAAATAATATATATATATATATAATAATATTACAAATAAGAATACTTCATCTACATATAATTCAGATTATATTGATAACAGACGAAAATAGAAATTACAATTACAAATTTTTTTTGTAACAAAGCTTTACTATAATTGTAACAGATGGAACCTGAATTTTATTTTTTATCAAAAATACATTTTTATTACGAGTTCCTTTATATACTAGTAGATATAATACTTTTATTTAAACACATTTATTTGTTAAACAATCCATATCTATACTATATATTATATAAAACTGGTGGTTAAGTCATTGATTTGTTTAAAAAACTCATATTTTCGGAAACGAAAATGTCTGTCTGTCGGATATTTTCTCCTCCCCTGGCAGTGAACACTGTTAGTAGAAAGTAACCGAAACTTCGGGAACATTTAGAAATAAAAAAATGAAACGAAGTAAATAAAGGACAAAACCAAACTTCATAACTGTAAGTTTTTAGTGTGCGATGAAAACTCGTATTAAACACCAATCTTATCGGATAGTAATTTTAGTTCAGATTAAGATATGAATGCTTAGAATGATTTGCACAAACGAAGTTAACATTGCATTATAATTAAAATAAGCCAGTAATTGATTTTAAAAATATTTACAACACTTAACATTCATTAAATCTGTCTTTCTCTGTATGTATTTGAGCATTCAAGAAAAAAACGAATAAAAATTAATAATATTTTAACGAAATAATAACTATTTTTAAAATATTTGTTAATTAATTTAAGCTAGTGGTAGTCCAAGATGTAAATAACTTTGTGAAGCGATCGTGAATATTACTTTTGTTTGTTTGATAGATATTATACAAAAGACAATGTTACGGCAGGTTCTAAAATATTAAAGTTGTTGAATTAAATATACACTAACCTTCAAATTAGCTGCCGACATGTTGCTGTGACTATCTCTTGTGATACTAAACATTTGACGTGAAAAAAACTCTTTTATAAGGATGAATGATTATCATTTGGTCGGTGGATTGAGATTTGTATTCATTCAGGAATGAGGAATGAATTTTGAACATAAATTTAAGAGTGAATGAATGTTTAAATGAAATTAATAGGACACCATATATAAAATATATGATTAATATTTAAAATTCGACACAATAAGATCTTATTCATTATATCGGTACTTTTTATAAATAATTGATAACCACAGAAGAACTAACTTAATTAATCAGTGTACAGACCTAACGATACATGTCGGTACTAGGAATACAGTTACAACATTGTAACACTATGCTCTAATTATTGACGTCAATACTTCACTTCTTCTTCTTTCTCGCAATTTTCCAGGTTTAACCAGGGTCTGCCCGTGAATACTCCACTAATCGCTGGTGAGAGACCTAATCAAGAAAGTGGCCTGCGAGTACACGTAACATTTACTGGACCAAAGAAGCAACATTGGAAATATAGACATATGGACTATGGTATAGTTTATCTCAGTTTAGATAAAAAATAAATGTATCAAATGTATAACATATTGATTGTATTAAAAATAAAACGGAAGAGCTATAGATATATTTATTTACATTAACAAATTGTAATATTTTCGCGAGTACACATAAAAATCAATCCATGTTTTTCGTATATGACTAACCGTCTTTATTTTAATACTTTTCAGTTCAGTTACTTTACTGCACCCGATATCATGGACAGACAGATGAAAGTGTCTATCAGTGAGTATGGTTATCTTCAACTATCGCAAAGGATTTTGAGTCTCCTCTCTCCACCAACAACCTGCTCGTAACTATTATACATCGCAAGAACCAATAGAAGCCACCCACAGTTTAACGACAACCTGTTATTTTACAATATATTACGGGAGCTACTGATAGAAAAGGCAACATCTTGAAGAAGGTTTTGATTAAGATTGACAAACCACACAAGAAAATAAGCCAATTTTCAAGACCAATTAAGGTTTAAATTTCACAATAGGCTTGTGTATACATACTTAATTGTGACTGTGGCTTGTCATACGCTGGAAGGACAAAGAGGAGCATCGGTATAAGGGTTAAAGAATAGGTCTTGGACATTAAAAATAGGCGTGTAGTGTATGAACACACAATGGAAAATACAAGGAACAGACTACGTTCTGAACTTTGTTGTAAAGAACTTTGTTGTAAAGATAGGTACATACAGAGACTTTTTTCCTGCCCTGATCCCACTTCATGTAGAGTCGGCAAAACATGTTCTTCTCTTCCACAGAACATGTTGTAAATAGTTTTGGCTAATTGTTTTTACGACCGGCCGCCTGCCTGACATCAACCCTCTTTGGGAATGCATTAATCAGTGATGTCTAAATACTCTTAGAAAGTACATATGTGTCGGAAAAATCACAATCAATTGCCCGGGCCAGGATCGAACCCGCGCCTCTTGCATGAAAGGCGGGCGTTTTAACCACTAGGACACCATTGACTTACATACATAGAGAGACTATCTCTGAGGATATTAAATTTAAAAAACTTTCTAATTTCAATAGAGAACTAGAGGTTACTATCTGATACCTATGATCCTTTCAATACAATCCCATGTCCATGATCACACTGTAAGACATCAAGATGCAGTTAGAGCATTCTGCGGGCATCCAAAGCGGTGGGAGAGCAAATTAATAATCTTTGTAGGCAGATGATAAATAAGAATAATTATAGACAGACGCTTTCATCACGTCTTGTACTGATCACGGTTGATGGAAAGGAACAGAAACGTCGGGAATATGTATAAATAAAACAATAAAACAGTATAGATATAGAACCAAAGATAACTTCATAACTGTAAGTTTCGAGTCTACGATTGTAACTCGTACTAAGCACCAATCTCTCTGACACATCAATTTTAGTTCAGATTAAGATATGCATGTTTAGAATGATTTGACACAAACGATGTTAACATTTCATAATAATTAAAATTATGAACCAATAACTCATCTGAAAAAATATTCACAATGAAAATGCTATGAAAAGTTACATATGTAATAAATAAATAAATCTGTCACTTTATTTATGTCTGTATGTATTAAGCCAACGAAAAACAAAACATATTAGGTAATTAATAATTGTCAATAATAATATTTTAACAAAATAATAATAACAACACCTAGAATATTCGTGAACCAATATAATTTTGTTGTAGTACAAGATGCAAATAATTTTTTGTGGACCTATCGCGAATATTAGTTTAATTATAATAATACAAAATTTTAATAATATAGGCCATAGCCGCATCCGTTCCTGAAATTATATTGTAGAAGACAACATTGCGAAATATTTAAAATTATTAAAGTTTTAAACTACTTTTATAACGATGAATGACGTTTGTCATTTGGTCGGTGGATTGAGACTTGTATTCATTCAGGAATGAGTGAATGAATATTGCACATAAAATTTAAGACTGAATAAATAATTTAATGAAATTAATTCGACACTTGACTGTGAGTTTATTAAAATTGACACTCCTATAAAGAAAAAATCATATTGTATCAAAATAATATAAAAAATATGATAAAAAAATTTAAATGCGTGAAAACTACTTCGCAGTCATTATCTTCGATACTTTTTATAATCAAAGAAAAGGAATAAATACTTCCTAACTGTCAGTTTTGAGTGAGCGATGAAATCTCGTACTAAGCACCAATGTTATCGGATTCAATAAATTACATAAAGATTAAGATATGAATATATAGAATGATTTGCAAAAACGAAGTTAACATTTCATAACTATTAATATTATGAGCCAATAATTGATCTAAAAAAATATTCACAACGGAATATGCTATGAAAAATTATATATATTTTATAGACGTTAATTAAATCTGTCACTTTATTTATGTCTGCATGTATATAGACATCAAAAAGACTGTTACGTACGCGCTGCATAATATGAAGGAAAAAAATGAACATCGCCGGGGCGACATCTTTGTATCGGTAAAATATTATATAACGAGTGACGCCGCTGACTCTACGGAACGAACACCAAGTCGTGTGAACCAGAAGATTCCTGATACACACAAGCTATGGAATGGTATTGCTATCCTAACATCGGGTCAATCATGTAGTCTTAGGTGTAAGTTCTAAGTTTTAACATGTAATTCATATTTTAATATGTTTCGTAGTTTTCCTGGAACCTCCGGTTGCCATCCTTTATAATTAGACAAAACGTATTTATTAATAATATTTTTATGAAATATTTTTTAGTAACTATCCCTAGAAATATTCGTCAACCAATATATCTTTATGTGTACGGGTACTTATTTGTTCATACACGTAATAAAACTATGTGAATTAATAATTAATAAATGCTCTTTAGTTTGGTCTAATTCAGTGATTCTCAAAGTGACTCCCAGTGACCCCCAGAGATTGTCAAAGGTCGACGCTCAGCGTGACAGATAATTGGGGTACACAATTGTAAGCGGGGGTCCATGAAAATTACTTTAGTTTTAAATTTTGATAGGGAATAACTAAAAAGTTGAAGTAACTGCTATCATTATTGTCAAATTATTTAAGAAATTCAGCGTCTGTTACTTGTAAAAACTTGCATATTCAATACGACTTCTGGTGTGTGTACTTACAATTGTTACAATGAACTTGTTTGATTCTTCATCAATAATAAAAAGAAATTCAAATAATTAAAGTGATTTAGTTAAAACCAGAATTTCATAAAGAAAAACCATTTTTTTTAGGTGGTAGAGCCTAGCTGTGTTCAGTTACTGCAGCTCGAATGTGCTGGCTCGACCGGGGATGTACCACCCTCTCACAGAAGATCGGTGTGAAGTAGTCAGTAATGACTGCGTTTCGTCCGATGAGTGGGAGAGCCGGTTGCCCTTTCCCTGTTCCCACCCTTTCCTACCATTTCCTTATTCCCATCCCTCCCTATCCCTAAAAACCAAGGTTGGCAACGCATCTGCTATATCTCTTCCATCAAGTGGGCCGTCTGCTCGTTTGCCACCTTTCACTCACTCAGTTGTGTACTCTGGAAGTTCTCCAGATAGTCCCTCTTTTAGGAAATTTACAGAAAATTTACATTAAGCTACTAAAACTATTAAAAATAAATTGAAAGAGCATTTTCCAAACATTATCGAGTGTCATTTCATTAAAAGGGACATGATTATTTTATCCAAAAATGGTACTGCAAGTAAGAAATTTATATTATTTTTTTACCATCTGAAAATAGAGTTTTCAACAAATTGAAAACATACCAAACTTTTGAAAATAGCTGATATTTTGACGGGTGATTTTTCGATTGAAAATGAGTCTGATTTTTCGGTTTTTATTCAAAATAAGCTGAAAAAAAATAATATTTCTAATCAAATAAATTACAGTGCATTTGTAACATCAAAAGGAAAGTCTTGACAAAATTTCGTAACAAAAAATTGTTTTTTATAAGAGATAAAAATAAAAAACCAAAAACTTGGTTTTTCGAATTTATCACAAATTTTCAGGTTATGTGAAAAAATGTTAGTACAAAAGTTTTGGATCTATTTATTACCTACAACTTTGCCGTATAACATTTTTCCGTAGGACTTTTAGTTTTTCCGGAAATCGAGAAAACCCATTTTTTACCCTTAAATACCCATCCCTATACCCTTCCAGACCTCAGATCGCCCGTAAATTATCTTTCCTTTAAATTTTATAATATTCCTCTCCTTTCCTAATGGGTTTCATTCTACTATTACTACTTACTATTCATACTACTGCGGAGGCATTGGCTTACTTCTGTGAGAAAGTCATTCCACTGTGGAGGCGATGTGCATGTGCTAAAATAACATTACTCGTTGTTTTAATAAAAGGAATTTGAATAGTTATTAGCAGATTTGGAAGAGCCTTTTACCAAATAATTGGATCCTTATTATTTATATTAATAATATTTTATAAACGAAGTATACAGAGTGAC